TCCTGCAGCCCTGGTGGGGCCTATAATGCACAGGACAACGGTGGCCTCATTTCTGCAGGAAACAGAACAACGGGACATCTTCTGGCTCGGACAATAAGGTTTTCATCCTGCAATGGGCTCTGTAATGATTCTCCAGATCCTTTCTCACCTGGCAGCCAGGATCACACTGTGCTGTTTTACTCAAAGTTGCTCTTCTGCAAAGAATTGGTCATTGGAGAAATTGGAAAAAAATGAAACCACGGAGCGCGGTGACTCCATGACTTCCATGCTGCCTGCCCCACACTGCTGCTAGGCACATTCAAGGCCAGACCCTCAGAGATTTCCCAGAGGGACCAAGAAGAGCTTTTAAACCCCCAAACAGTCCCTTCCATCCCCTGTCCTTGCTGCTGTTCTGTTTACAGGACAGCTAACGGTGCTCATGTCTGTACGGGGGCTTTGAGCCCTTCCAGCCCACCACCACAATCACATGGATTCTGCAGATGATGGTTGACTGGGGACAACACATTATTTCCCATGGCAGCTGAATGCGATGATTAAGTACCGGCAGTGTGGTATAGTACCAAGGAGAAGCTCTGAAGGGAAACCAACCTGATACACCTACTCACAACCCAAGGACAGCACATCCCCCTGAGCCACCAAGCCTATGAGCTCTGCAGGAACCACCCCAAATTCACAGACAGCAAATGTGTCCCCTCTCTGAGGGCAGGGAGGAGGGCAAGACGTGAGGTCCTCTGGGATGGGCATCCATGTTTGGAGGACTGGGATGGGCAGGCACTTGGCCCATCATCGCTGCCCCAAGTGCAGCCTTGCAGCACCGGGAGTTCCCGTACAAACCCCAAATCCCCTGAAAGTTCACTATTAGGTTCTCTCTCACGTTAAGCATGTATGTGCTCATCAACCCACAGTTATGGGTCTTACTCCCTAAAACCCCTGCTCTCGGCTGAGCGTGCATGGGAGAAGCAGGACCCAGGGTGCTGAGCAGTCAGAAGAGCCCAGGTACCAGGACCAGGGTGGAGGCAGGATGCTGGCTCCTGGCCACTGCCCTGTGAGCCCAGGGCTGAGGTGTCACCTCTCCCCCTACATCAGTCCCCAGTGTCACCCACGGGGACCCTCATCCTCCTGCCTTGCCAGCATTCCCTCGTTTGCTGCACTCACACCCCGAGAGCCAGGCGAGGAACAGCCACTGGCAGTGGGGACGGGCAGCAGGGACCCCTTTGTCTCCGAGCAGGGACACCCCTTCCCTCCTGTGACACCTACTGATGAAGACAACCCAAAGCAGGGTCTCGTTTCAGGGTGCTAAAGGCAGAAGGCAGCCTGGCACCTGCTCTAACTGCACTGCACAGCATCTCTTTTAGCTCCTCGGGAAGGTGGCTAACACCGATACCAGGTCTGATAGCACGATTATACTGTATTTCTTATAAACTTGCTCCTCCTTGGAGAGTCCTGTGAGTTGTAACTAATTCAGCATTGCCACGTCCAGCGACAGCGCGAGCGTGGGCTGTACCTTGGAGACCAGGCTGGCCCGGTACGCTGCCAGGGCTTTCAGGTACTCCTTCTTCGCGGCTTCTGTTTTCCTTTTGTACGCCTGAAAGGACCAAGAAATTGATAATAATTAATAAAGTAGATTAGGGTGCTGCTGGGCTTGGCTGTGCCCTGCTTGCTCAATGGGACCCCCCCTCCGCTGAGGCCATTCCTGTGTGCACGTCCGCACGAAAAACTCATTTCTGCTGGAGAGGAATTTACCCCAAACCAAGCAAATAAAACGCCTTGGATTGGACCACGCTGGGATTTTTGGAGGCAGCGCAGGCCAGAGCGGTCTGCGTGCCCAGGCAGATATTTATGCATGTCTGCTGTGAGAGACACGGCCTGATTTTATAGGGTAAACTCAGTGAAATCACTTCTCCACAGGAACTGGGTGAATGTGCAATCCAGGCTCTTGGAAGAGTAAGACAAGAGCCAAAATCCCCAAATGACAGGACTAGCTTAAAAAATGGTGAGATATTCAGAAATCCTAAACTACTCATTTGTTTTCTTGGCTTTCCCATTATAAAGTCAAAACTCCAGCTCTTCTCTGCAGTCCTGACAGTTGGGAAATGCTTTCTCATCATATAAAAGCCAAGATTTTTGCCTAATCTTACGATTTGGGGAGGTGGGGCTTGCAGGAAAAGAGCAAGTATCAGGAGAGTTTGCTACCCTAAGAAAAAAATATAATAAAGCTTCGTAAGAGTAACTTGTTGTTTATTCTTCCATCTCTTCCCTGCAATGAGACCTGTGTCATGATTGTTTGACAGAGCCGGTCCCCTTTCTGCCCAGAGTTTGGTCCTCCACGTATGTGAAAACAATGGTGTAACCCAGCCTGTCTCAAGGAGCGCGAGTCCCCACGGGGTTAACAGATTAAACTGAGCAAGCAAGAACAATCTTTTCAAATGGAATAAAAATTTCAGCAAAAAGGCAGAAACTCCCAAGAAAAATACCTCTATCAGCCCTCTCCTCCGCTGGAAACTCAAAGCCCTCCTCAAGTGGCACACTGAAAGTTGATTCCAATTAGACCAGATTTGCATACATTTAATTCTGTTTTAAAAACGACGACAGCTTTCAACAATCAAGACGCTGAAGCCTAGCAGGGACATTTAGCTCCTTTCCCCTGCAAATTTTCATGGCCATGGCAGCACCCCAGACTCCCTCCCAACACTCACCTCCGAAGGGAAAATAACCTTCCAGTACTTAAACTATCCAGTTACTTGAATTTCAGTTTAAAATCAGTACAGATAAATTCTATTCAAAACGGATGGAAACCCTTATTTTCATTGTGAAATCAGAGAGACTCCTGTAATGAAACGTTTTGCCTTGACACACTGGAGGTCTCAGATGGTAATTTTCTGAAAAGGAGCGTTTTCCTAAGTTTGTCTTTGGCTTTATGGTATTCAGGAAGTATTATATTTGCTCCATTCAGAACAAAATTACACTTCAAAATGTCAGCCTGAAGAAGAGTTTGCCTGTGAAAAGCAACTATTTCTTCAAACGGGAGCAGTTCCTGGTTTTTTTGAAGCCAAATGCCCCAAACTCCATCTAGGATTGGAGCAGAGACCTTTTCACTTGGCATCAGTGGACCCCTTGATTTTTTGGGGAGAGTTTGAGTTCTTTTCACCATTCCCCAGGCTTGGGAAGCAGCAGATACGTTTCTCTACAGTCCTCACCTCACTGATGTCCGCAGCCCATCGCAGCGACACCGGTGCTACCACCACAGCATTTACTGTAAAACAGAAATGTGGGGTGTCCACCAGCTCTGCTGCTAACGGATGCTCTTAAATGCGGTACCTGATGCCTGCACAGCAATCAAAGATGAATTCTTGTGTCTCAGGCCAGTATAACAGTGGCCATAGCTGGGTGCTGATGTATTGGAAAGATATTTTTTTTTTTTTTCCCCTCTGTAACAGCAAAATAACAAGAGTGTCTTTGCTTTTTTTTTTTTTAAATCTGGGACAGTGGGAAACCAAAGTATTCACAGATATAAGGAGACAAATTCAATTATGAGAAAGACTTGTCTGGAGAAAAACCTGCAATTTATGGACTGTGAGAAGGCAGGTAAATGAGATTTCCTTAACCTAAACGCAAATAAATGAATAACCAATAAATTCTGTGCCTTTCTTCATCCCCATCGCTTGCTTTTTCTGCTACACCCTTTTTTTCCCCACTCTTCATCTGCCATGAAGCTACCGAGAAGGGGAAGAGGGCAGCCCAGGCGGTGTTTCCTCTGATGCTCCTCTGATGCTCTTGCCAGTTCTGGAAGGTTCCCGGTGGATTATCTGGTTTGTGACCATAGACTCAAAACCATAGTTTGGATTGGAAGTGACCTTCAAAGCCCATCCAGCCCAACCGCCCTGCCATGGGCAGGGACACCCCCCACCAGACCAGGTTGCTCAAAGCCCCATCCAACCTGGCCTTGAACGCTTCCAGGGATGGGGCAGCCACAGCTGCTCTGGGCAACCTCTGCCACTGCCTCAGCACCCTTAATGTGAAAAACCATCCCTAAGGGGCTCCTGCCAGGACTTCTCCAGTCCTGCCCAGCACGTGGGGGGCTTTCGGCACCCACAGGGTGCTCCGTCGAGGGCACCGAGCACTGAAACCGCAGCCTGCCGCTGGGGAGAGGCAGCGCTGGGGCGGGGAGAGCGGATCCGAACAAAACTTATCATGAATCCTCTGTGCAAAGGCAGCTCTAGTGCAGTATTTATAACCTTTAAAATTTTAATTTAAACATTGACAAAACCATGTTACTTTCTAATTAAATCCCATTTTCTCCTAGGGATTTTAATTTCAAAGTAATTTATCAGCTTTAAGGATCCTCAAAACATTTTGCATGTTTTTCTTTCTAACCTGCCATGCCCACTGATTTATTTTCTTTATTCGTTAGCAGGAGGATTCATTAGTCATTAAGTGAGTGGGTGGGTTGGGAGGGGGGAGCAAAAATGGTTAGTGATTATGAAAACAAAAAATCAGAGCTGTAAGAAGCATATGTTGGGATCATAATCCTGACACCTCTGTGTCTCGGCAAAGCAGCTAGTAATTGTACCGTAATGAAATGTTCTTGTTTGATAACCAGTTAATTAGAGAAGACAATTATTCCAAACCCCGCTGACGCCCACGAACGGCTCCGTGTCGTGCAGGCACTGAATGACAGCCGGAGCTGTTATCGGTAACCTCTGCATCCCAGCCCGCCTGCTTCACCAGAAACGCTGCTTCCCAAGCCTGGGGAATGATGAAAAGAACTCAAACTCTCCCCCAAAAATCAAGGGGTCCACTGATGCCAAGTGAAAAGGTCTCTGCTCCAATCCTAGATGGAGTTTGGGGCATTTGGCTTCAAAAAAGAGATAGACGGTCAGGAGAGAAGAGATGAAAAGCGCAGCAAAGGTCTCCAGGAGGAGAGCTGAAGGACTCGGTTTATTTAGGTCGGAGAGAACACAAAGAGGAGCCACAACCTCCAAACGTGATGCGGCAAAGGGGACACTGAACCATCCTCTGCACCTACTGCAGAGAGGAAAAGAGGCAATAGGCTTAAATTGTAACAAGGGAAATGTTGGCTAAGCCAGAGGAAAGCGTTCCTAACAGTAAGGATAATTAAGCATGGGAAGAGATTGCCTGGGGAGATGTGTAATCTCCACCACTGAGGGTTTAAGAACAGATTAGGCACACATCCATCAAGAATGGCTTAAGTAGAGATGATCCTGACTTCAGGCAACAGTATGGTCTGGTTGACCTCTTAAGTCTCTCCTTGCCCTCCTTTCTATGATTCCA